AAATAAATTTGTACTTCGATTTGTTCCTGAATTATCAAAAACATCAAATTCTTCAAAACCATTTATTATTAGTGTGTCATCAATACTAAATCCGTCCCGATCGCGTACAAAGTTGTGTAATACACAACAACATTTTACGATATTGACAGCAAAATCTACTTTTACATCAATTGGCCTGTGGAATATACGCCATTTATTTGAAAATATACCAAAAGTACACTCCACGTAGCGCCTAGCGCGTGTTAAGCGATAGTTAAATATTTTTTTTCTATCTGGCAAATGTGTACCAGAATATGGCCGAAGCAAATGCTTGCTTAAACTAAAAGCTTCATCACCAACAAAAGCGTAAGGCAATGGAATATTTATTCCTGGTACTTGTGATGATTCAGGAATATTTAAATTATTCCTTTCTAAATTATTCCTTTCTAAATTCTTCCAAAGCGACGAATTTCTGAAAATAGTTGAATCAGAATCTTTCCCATATGACCCAACGTCGATATAAACGAATTTATAATTTGCATCAGCAACAGCCATAAGTCCAATTGAAAAAAAAAGTTTATAATTCATAAACAACGAACCACTTCTTTCTGGTTTTACAACACGGATGTGTTTACCGTCCACAGCACCCAAACAGTTAGGAAAATTTGATCTAATTTTAAACTCTTCTGAAATTTTGAGCCACATATTTTCATCTGGTATGGGAATGCATACCTCTTTCAAATTTTGCAATTAGCAAAATATTATTAACMATAAAATATTTTGTAAAACAATTACAATATTATTTGTCATAATAATGATAAAATAAAGTAAATAAATATTTTCAATAAACTCACTGTTTATATAAGTTGTTAGAGTTATGAAGTTTCAAATGTTTTTCTGTGACTTCAAAGTCTAAACAATTAATTTCTTTAGCACCAGTAGCTGACCTAATAACAGCTACAGAATTTAGAATGTCATCCCCTAAATGATTACGTTCTTTCTGTTCCCCTTGAGATTCGACATAACGAGAATATACTGTAATTTGATTCTAATTCTATTATACATTTTTTTTAATAAACAGTAATATTAACTGTCAGAAAACAGCTAATAATATTAAATAAAAGATTTATCCTACTTGAGTTATCTATTGAACGAATCAAATTATATATTTATTTGGAAAGCATTGTTCTAGCCAAGTACCCAAATCAGAATGTATACTGAGCAAAACTTACCGGTAATTTTAACACAAATATATAGATTAAATCAATAAAATCATTGTTAATATTGGGTCAACGAAATAATTATTGATACTAATAAATTACTAAGATTAGATATTAGTTAAAATAAGAATTCACAAATTACTTGATTTAATAACTTTTTTGTTTATTATAACTAATTTACATGGTACGTTGATCAAAATTATGTTAAAATAACTTGGAATTTTGTTAATTTTATAAGATACATTATTAATTTAACGCATAAATATTGTTGGACTTACAAAA